TAGTATCTAATCCAGGGGTGGGCAAACTTTTTGACTTGAGGGCCACAGTGGGTTCTTTAACTGGACCGGAGGGCCAGAACAAAAGCATGGATGGAGTGTTTGTGTGAACTAATATAAATTCAAAGTAAACATCATTACATAAAAGGGTACGGTCTTTTTTTTTTTAGTTTTATTCATTTCAAACGGGCCGAATCCGGCCCACGGGCCGTAGTTTGCCCATGGCTGATCTAATCTAATAAAAGAGAAACATCCAAATTGACCGTAACTTTGCTACGCCCCCAGGTCATGCCCCCCAGCCAATCAGAGCAACTATATGCAAATTAACCCAACCAAGATGGTGGTTGGCAGCCACGGAGCTGGAGCAAGCAGGAGGCTTGGTTGCCCCGGTGATGGAGGAAGCCAAGCTTCCCGCATGCCCTGGCCGGCTGTGGCCTCCACTAAAGGCAACAAAATTTCAATTATAGAAGATAAATAAATCCCAGATACCTGCTTCCAGCCAGCCTCCACTGGGAGCTTGGGTGGCTGGGGGCCATGGTCAGCCTGCAAACAATCATCAGCCCCTCACCCAGGTTGGCCACACCCTCATGGGGTGAGGGTCCCTGCTGGGGGTCTTGGCCAGCCTGCAAACAGCCATCAGCCCCTCACCCAGGCTGGCCAGGCACCCCAGGGGGGACCCCCACCCTGAAGGGGCTGTGGCCAGCTTGAAAACAGCCATCAGCCCCTCACCCAGGCTGGCCACACCCTCAAGGGGTGAGGGTCCCTGCTGGGGGGCTTGACCAGCCTGCAAACAGCCCTCAGCCCCTCACCCAGGCTGGCCAGGCACCCCAGCAGGGACCCCCACCCTGAAGGGGCTGTGGCCAGCCTGCAAACAGCCGTCAGCCACTCACCCAGGCTGTCCAGGCACCCCAGCAGGACCCCCCTCCCTGTTCCAGGACACCCTTCAGGGCAAACCAGCCAGCCCCCACCCATGCACCAGGCATATAATAAAAGGGTAATATGCAAATTGACCCTAACAGCAGAACGACTGGGAATGACTGGTCACTATGACACACACTGACCACCAGGGGGCAGACGCTCAATGCAGGAGCTGCCCCTTGGTGGGAGCTCTGCTCAGCCACAAGCCAGGCTGACGGCTGCCAGCACAGCAGTGATGGCGGGAGCCTCTCCCGCCTCCTCAGCAGCGCTAAGGATATCTGACTGCAGCGTAGGCCTGGTCCCCGCTGGCAAGTGGACATCCCCCGAGGACTCCTGGTCTGCCAGAGGGATGTCTGACTGCCAGCTTAGGCCCGCTCCCCCGGGGAGCGGGCCTAAGCCAGCAAGTGGACATCCCCCGAGGGGTCCCAGACTGCGAGAGGGCACAGGCCGGGCTGAGGGACCCCCCCACCCCCGAGTGCACAAATTTTTGTGCACTGGGCCTCTAGTATATATATAAAAGCCCCACCAGACCCCTTTGCCAGGAACTACACTCAGCATCCAGCTGCCAAAGCTTTGAACTGTCTGTGAGCATTTGTGCTGTATTTGGATTTATTTTGTGCATCTGTTAGCAAGATGTGTCCTGAGGTATCAGGAAAGCCTGAGAGAGCTCATAAGGGTGTTAGCTTAGTGTAGAACTGGATGTAAATGGTATGATTTATTAAGTTATTTTTTTTCCATATAAATCAGGTGGGGAAAATCCCACCCGCGGCCCATAGTGTGGAAACCTGTACTTAAGATTTCACTTGTATGTGGAGTCTAAAAAACTAAACAAAACCAAAAACCAGACTCAGAGATAGAGAACAGATTGGTAGTTGCTGGGGGTGGATAGGCAAAATGGGTGAAGAGGGTCAAAACTCCTGGTTATAAAATGAATAAGTCATGGGGGTGTAATGTATAGTTTGGTGACTACAGTTAATAACACTGCATGGTGTAGAATGTGAAAGTTGCTAAGAGAATAGATTTTTTTTTAAAATAAACTGGCTTTTGTCCTGGCTGGGTAGCTCGGTGGGTTAGAGCATCCTCTGGATAGCCACTTAGCAAGAGGAACATGCCACTCCGAGGCCAGATGCTGCTTGAGAGATTTTAGGAAAGTCTGAAGCAGGAGCTAAGGCAGGCCGTTAGTGTGGAAATGCCACTGTAAACAGTTTGGTGGGCCTGAAAGTTGGGTAGGGCAGAGTCTCAGGGAATCACCAGGACAGGGTGAGCATTAACCAGATTGATGACTCAGATATGGCACCCACCTGCTGGCTCTGTGTGGGGAGGACTCAGAAAAGGAAATGGCCTCTGCCGGCACTTCTCTCTGGGAGAAAGCTGCTCCTCCAGCTCTCACTCTAATGTCAGATACTTTATTTAGTTCCTCCCCATTTGTCCCTGGTGCCTTACAAGATGCTGCCCCGCTGCTGGAGCTCAGATCAAGTGAGTCTGATTAAGTAGGTGAGCAGGCCCTTGAAGAGGAACACCTGGGACTCCAGCAGCCCTGGTGTCTCACTGAGCCACAATCCCTACTGGATTTTACAGCCAGAAGTAATGGGAACACTGGGGTGGAGCGCCTGGTGTGGGGCTGGGACCCCTCACTCCTCAGGGGGTGACCTCTATAGCCAGGATCTCTCTCTTGATTTTCATCTCACACATGGGTGTGAGGTCAGCCTTTTCCACATCTCCACCCCTTCCACCAGTCTCCATGTTTTGTGTTGATTTATTAACCAGGCTTGGTTAGGTTTGCTATTTGGCAACTTAGTTTGAAATGAGGGAAAGAGAATATTAAAGGGAAAAATGAAAAATTCAGTAAGATCATAGTCCAGTTTAGACTAGAAATTCTAGTTCAGGTTTAATATAAGTACATAAAATATCTTTATTATTTCTGCTGTTACAATTTAATGCTAGAGCTCAGAAAAAAAGTATAGCTTTGATGTATAAGAGGCATCTAAATGTTACATAGCTTCTTTTTAGTGTCTCTTGTGTTAAGGTTAAATGCTTTGATTATACCCTGTTTACTTAAATTGCTCAGCTTGCTCAGGCTTGATGAAAGGAATTAAATGGTGTCAACACAGGATATTGAAAAAACACACCTGGTTTCATTATTAGAGGCCTTCAGAGAAATGTTTGAGGACTTCAGTTGTGTGTCAGAATTTAGCTTTATTTGGGTTACTGTAGCATTCAGGTGGGAGGGGCATAGGATGATTTTAATTTTTTTTTTTTTTACATGCCGGAGGGTTTTACAATTCTGGTTTAGAGTTGAAGGCAAAATGAGTTGGAGGAAGAATCACAGTAGTAGTTGTTGAAAATCCGTAACAGTGGATTTTTTCACCAATTTGCCCTTTCTTATATAATGTTTATAATATTTTTTCCCTTAGTCGTTTTATTAGAACTTTTTCAGATTTATACTAAAATCTACTGAATACTAATAATATTCCAGTATTGTATTCATTAAGCTACAATAGTAAAATATGTGATTGAGTATTAATGACATTAAGGAAAACAGGAACATATATAGGAGAAATGTAGGTGCCCACAGAGCTGAGGCCAGAATTGTACCTGGCGTTTTTATTTATTTGTTTATCTTTCTTTTAAGCAGGAAAAAGGAGATGGTTTCCTTTAAATGTCCAGTGTGTTTTTTTAAACATAAAGGATATAAGGGAGTTAATAGAGGAGATTGTCAGAGAATGAGAATGCTCCTCTACACCTATGGCTAAAGGGTTAATAGGCAGGAAGAGTCTTGGAGACGGTATGCAAATTCCAAGTTGCTATGCATTATTAAAATGCATAAAACCTTCTAAAATGTAGGAATGTAGTGGTTAAACCATTAAACCACGGATAGATACTTTGGTGTATTTACCCCAAATGCAGGAAAAGCCATGCTTGCCTTTGTAGCCATGGAATTTGTCTTCTTTTTAAAAAAATCCTCATCCCAGGACATGTTTTCTGTTGATTTTTAGAGAGAAGAAGGGAGAAACACACACACACACACACACACACACACACACACACACACAGAGAAACATTGATGTGCGAGAGAAACATAGATTGGCTGCCTCCTGTACTCATCCTGACTGGGAATGGAACCCCCAACCTGGGTATGTGCCTGGACCAGCATATGGGACGATGGTCCAACCAACTGTAAGCTCCCAGTAAAAGTTTGTAATACAAGTAATTTAGGATCATTTCTGCTTTGTTTTATAGTTTATTCTTTCCAAGAATGTTGGGTAACAAAATAAAATCTTAAATTAGGAAAAGGCTTCAGAGAGAGTTTTTAAAAAGTTAAAAATTAGGGCCCTAGCTAGTTTGGCTTAGTGGATAGAGCATTGGCCTGTGGACTGAAGAGTCCTGGGTTCGATTCTAGTCAAGGGCACATGCCCAAGTTGCATGCTGGATCCCCAGTAGGGGGTGTGCAGGAGACAGCCAATCAATGATTCTCTCTTATCATTGATGTTTCTATCTCTCTCTCCCTCTCCCTTCCTCTCTGAAATCAATAAAAATATATTTTTAAAAAAGTTCAAAAGGATTTGATTTATCAATTGAAGATGTAATTTGATTCCATTTTTGTTGTTTTCTTCCATAAAAAACACACACACAAAAACACCTGTTGCCCTAGCCGGTTGCTCAGTGGTTAGAGTGCTGGCTCTCAGATTGAAGGGTTGTGGGTTCAGTTCCAGTCAAGGGCACATGTACTTTGGTTGCAGGTTCGATCTGCCCCCCACCTCCACCCCATGCCAGTCGGGGGGAGTTCTGGAGGCAACCAATTGATGTGTCACTCTCACTCACATCAATGTTTCTCTCTTTCTGTCTCTCCTCCTCCCTTCCACTCTCTCTAATAATCAATGGCAAAAATATCCTCAAGTCCTCTGTTGAATAACTGTGGCAGTAAGGATGGCAAGTCAGTGTGGGCAGCATTCTAAAACTGATGCTTTCCCTAAGGCAGAATTCATTGATTCCAAATAGCCCATGGTAATACATGGAAAAGATGAAATTGACATGGTTTTAAAAGGATTTTCTCTATACATTTTTTTTCCACTTTTTCAAAACAGTGCCTTTGAAGATGAGGCTATGAAGCTTCGACAGCTGAAACTCGATAATCAGGTGAGTAGAGTCTTCTCTTCTGAAATAAGTGGAGAGCTATACTGACCATGATGCTGATAGTCTTGACTCTGAAGTCTTGGCAGGGTCATGGAAAGAAGACCCGATAGGAAAAGGCTCTGATATTACTCACTCAGCAGTGTGAGTATCTGCTGAACCAAAGCCCTCGGCTATGGCAAGACCAAAGTGCTTTGAGGACATCAGCAATAAAACCGGCCTTAGATTTGTAATAACTGAAAATTCCTTGGTACCTTTTATAAGAATTTGAAGAATGTTAACATTGTAATTCTATGTACTTATTTGGTCTTACTGCTGTAAGTACCTCTCTACACTGTAATTTCACTTAACTACAATATTTTTTTCTTACCCTAATCTGCAGATCTGAACATGCTGTTATCTTGTTTAAAAACTTCCATTGCCTGCAGAATAATTTTCTTTACAGCACTGGTCCCAATTTTAGCTACACATTAAATTTTTTTTGCAATGATTTGATTTATGCTTATTTTCTCCACTAGACTAAGTAAGTTCCATGAGAACAGGAAGCAAGTCTATTTATGATGACTGTTATATCAGAAGTTCCTAGCATGAGGCTGGGTACATAATCTTCATTAAATATTTGAGTGAAGGAAGGAATAAGTGAACAGAGTTTTGTGTTGTCACATGCTATCCTCCTCATGATTACTCAGCTTAGAACCTATACCCAACATAGCTTATTTGCTTTTTCATATGAATGTCATTTATTTTAATCCTCACCTGATATTTTTTCCATTGATTTCTAGAGAGAGTAGAAGGGAGGGAGGGGGAGAGAGAAACATTGACGTGAGAGAGACACATTGATTGGTTGCTTCCTGCAAGATCCCCTAGGAGGGCTGGGGAACCTGGAACAAAGGTACGTACCCTTGACCGGGAATCAAACCCTGACTCTTCACATCAGTCTGCAGGCTGATGCTCTAACCACTAACCAAACCAGCCAGGGCTCATATGGATATTTTTTTAGTCAGGAAATTCTATAGCTCTACTCTCTACTAAGTGTTTAAACTCCACAGGTAACTAAAAAGACCTTTAAAGTTTTGTCTTCCTTATGTTGCTGTTGGAATTAATAATGGGACTTATAGCATAACAAATTAAAGGTGGGATCATTAAAAACTAGGAAAGGGGTCTCGGCACAGCATGCAGGGATGTATAGAGCAACCCTCCACATAGGGCAAGGTGGAGATGCAGGCTGGAATGCCACGCCTGTCCCTGGAACAGCACTGGTACTTGTGCTTGCGGGTGGCAGCCCCTGCATGGCACCTTTCAAAACTTTTGTGGTGATGGCATTTCCCTGGAGACTGTTGTTGAGTTCCACTACCCCTCAGGCCACCAAATGGTGGAGCTCGGTGCCCAGTGATCTCACGTGCAAGCCTGAGACCTGCTTCAAGGCTACGGTGATTGCCTTCAATGTCAGCTGCACCAGCGCCTACTTGCCAGGGCCTTCCTCACCTGCTGCCTCATGAAGTGCATGGAGAGGAGCGAACCTGGAGCCTCAGTGCTCGGACAGGGCTGCGCAGCTTGGCCTCAAAGGCCTGACTAATGACAGCAGTGCCACTGCTATAAGGTAACTATAGCTTCATTGCCCTTGGCGAGGGCACCACAGGACTGGCTGTTGTGGACAGGACCTTGGAACCCCTGGACCTGTGTTCTGATCTTTTCCCCATGTCCTGGTGGCAGTGCACAGGACAGACCTTGCCTGAGCTGGGCTGGGGAGTGCCTAGCCACTCTACCTTCCACAACCTGAGGGCCAGGCCCCCCACCAGCCAGTCACCTCTATCACCACATATGTCCAGCTCCAGATTGATCAGTAAAATCCACTTTCAGGCTTAGGGGTCCCTCAGGACAAGCTGACTGATGCCCAAGGCTGGGGACCCCAGTGTGGGTGACTAAGCAATCCTAGGGGAAGCCCTGCTGTAGTGCTTTTTATGGCTTGAAACCACTGCTGAGGTTAATACACCAGCTGCAGCCTCCCTCTACCTGGCTTCCTTTAAAGAGATTGGGGAAATTTTTTATTTTTTTAAATGTATTTTTATTGATTTCAGAGAAGAAGGGAGAAGGAGAGAGAGATATAAACATCAGTGATGGGAGAGAATCATTGATCGGCTGCCTCCTGCATGCCCCACACTGGGGATCGAGCCCACAACCCAGGCATGTGCCCTGACCAGGAATCGAACCACGACCTCATGGTTCATAAGTCAACGCTCAATCACTGAGCCACACTTGCCAGGCCTGAGGAATATGTTAAGCAGATCTAGTTTTTTTGGCAGAGTGGAAAATAGGAACAAACTTCCCAGCAATTACAGATGGCTACCTGGGCACCTTCCTCTGCAAGGTATTCTGCTTCTAAGTGGAGACCCTGTCATGTCAGTGAGGGTGTGAATAAACAATTCTTTCTAATACTGGAAAAGGAAAGAAAACTAGAAAATAAACTAATTTTCATGGGATCATGGGGAAAATTCTGATTATATATATGTTTGTTGCTACCATAAATATCAGAATAATTGTAATGAACTCTTATTTTCTACATTCCATTGCATATGGTAATAATCCAAATAATCCAAAAAATATATTTGATGAAAAATATCCACCACCTCCCCACCTACTACTTGGCTCAGTTCTTAACGAGAGGCAGTCACAGACTTCTAGTATATCCTAGAAGACATAAAATTTAGAAAGCCGAATCTACGCCTTCCTGGCCAGCGATAGCAACTGCAGAACCATAGGAGGCAATCTTTCTAGGCCAGGCAGCTGAGGAGGAAGGAGCCATTGAAGGTGGGGTCGGCCTGGTATGTATTCTGCACCTCTGGAAAGTTATTGCCGTGGAACCGATAGGGGAGAGGTATATAATAGAAATAGAATCACAGTTGTTTAATAGCTACTCACTATAACGAAGAGATTTTCTTATAGACTCGGGAAACTGGAGGATGTGTTGCAGGAGAGAACAGGCTCTGAAGATAAGGCAGCCCCAGAGCTGAGATGAGCCTGTTACTCAAAAGAAAATACATTTTAAGCTCAGATCAAGGACAGGACCTATCTGAAGGGAGACAGCGTTCTGGGCTCATCTTTATCGGGGCTAATCTTTGCAAGGACAATGATAGAAAGCAGACCCTGGGAACTCACTAACTTTAAATTTTGTTCCTAGTCTCTAACCATCCTATATAATAAAAGGGTAATATGCAAATCGACCAAATGGTGGAATGAATGGTCGGTATGATGCGCACTGACCACCAGGGGGCAGACACTCAACACAGGAGCTGCCCCCAGCCCGCAGGCCCCAATTGCCTGATCAGGGCCTGCTGGCCAACCTCTCGGTCCCTTCCCCTGGCCGGCAGGCTCCGATTGCCCAATGGGGAATGGGGAACCGGGGGTGCGTGGCAGTGGGGGATGGGGACGGCAGCTGGAGAAGATGGCCCTGATTGCAGACCAGGCCTAGGGATGGTATGAGACTCGTTCAGGAGACATCTGTACTGCCTATGTCCTGCTTGTGAAAAGATGGAAGAAATTACTAGCAGGATTAACAAAAAACAAAACAAAACAAAACTGGAGCCCTAACTAGTTTGGCTCAGTGGATAGAGCATTGGCCTGCGGACTGAAGGGTCCCAGGTTCGATTCTGGTCAAGGGCATGTACCTTGGTTGCGGGCACATCCCCAATAGGGAGTGTGCAGGAGGCAGCTGATTGATGTTTCTCTCTCATTGATGTTTCTAACTCTCTATTCCTCTCCCTCTCCCTCTCTCTCTGTAAAAAAATCAATAAAATATATTAAAAAAAAACCAAAAAACAAAAAAACGAATCATGTAGGTGCAAGGCCAGGACCCAGTCTATAGACTAACTTGAAACCAAAAGAAAGTGAAAATTCTACCTGGAAACAGGATAAAAAGCAAGCAGATCAGCAAATTGCAGAAGGAATTGAAACATTGTAATTCTGATGCTCACGGACCCACCTCGAGTGCCTCCCCAGCTCTATCTCCTTGTTATAGTAACCAGTCAGATGATGGCTCAGAGACAGGGATGGCTTCGGGCGGGCTCTACCAGAATGCCAGTTTTTTTTTCCTTTTTAGATCTCACATACTGGAAAAGACAGAACATATGTTGTGGGATTTTCTATAAAGGCGTTTTGGGGAAGTCCTCATTGACACACATCTATTCAAGCCTTGCTGTAGCAATAAGAAAGCAGCTGCTGAGAAGCCGGGGGCCAGAGCCTCTGCCCAGCTCCACTCAGGAGTGGTCCCTGAGGTTTATATAGAAGGAGAACAAAATACAATTTAAATTTTAGAAGAAAAGCAACAAACCCACAGCAACAAAAATGACCCTCCTATGTTTAACTTGGATACCTGCTATTCTGCCAAAGACAATTTCTGGAATAGTTCTGAATGGATTATTTTTCCTTCCTTTCCACAAGTTCCACCAACTGAAGCCAGTATCTAGTTTATAAAAGAAAAAAATATATATATATAAAGTTTAACATGCTGAGTATTTCAGAGGAAACAGAATGCTGCTATAAAATGCTCTTTAAGTCTTTCTTTTAAATCCCCTTCTAACGAATGAAACTAGGGGGATTTCAGGGGACAGAGATAGGATTTGTTGTATGATAGACATATGTAGTCTTAACCTTTTTATTTTGAAATGGTTTTTTTTAATACATTTTGGCTCCAGTATTGGTAGACTATACTATAGTCTAGATCATTTCTACTTCTGTATTTATTTATTTATTTATTTATTCATTCATTACTAGGTCTCAACCACAGTCTTCTTTTTTTAAATTTAAATTTTATTTTTATTTTAGAAAGAGATAGAGAAACATTGATATGTACTCCGACTGGGGATGGAACCCGCAATGTTGTCATATCAGGATGATGCTCTAACCAACTGAGCTACCGGGCCAGGGCCACAGTCTTCTTTTTCCTCTTTGCCTATAGGATGTACTGTATGTAGTCATGCACTTTGTATTAATACATTAGAAATATACAA